AATTCATCAGCTTTGGTCTTGAAGTTCATCAGATTTGAACAGTGAGTAACTCACTGGGATCAGCCACTGAGTTTGTTAAAAAAAAAAAAAAGAGACTGGCAAATAGAAACTACAGTGCTAAAAAAATCAGGAAGCAGTTTAAACATATCTGAAATATAAATCCCTGGTTCTCTAATGGATCTCCAATTACTTTATTCCACTGTTGGACCATGTTCCACCAGGAAATCTTTCAGGCAACAATTGTTATGCCATGTTACCATCTGTACTAGGAAAAGCCTATGGGATGATATAGCTGTTAGCGAATAGAAACTACAGTGCTAAAAAAATCAGGAAGCAGTTTAAACATATCTGAAATATAAATCCCTGGTTCTCTAATGGATCTCCAATTACTTTATTCCACTGTTGGACCATGTTCCACCAGGAAATCTTTGTTTCAGGTAACAATTGTTATGCCATGTTACCACCTGTACTAGGAAAAGCCTATGGGATGATATAGCTGTTAGCAGTCTGTGAACAAAGAATTACTGTGTACAGTTTCACATGCCGAGTGTGTAGCACGTGTGTGAATGCATATATATGTTTCCTATCTGTTTTCAAGACCAGTACTGGGGAAACAATTTTGTTACCCCACCAACCTCTGTGGTGAGCCGGTGGGACTGGCAGGGTGTTTGGCACTTCGGCTGTCTGCAGTGCGATCCCCACAACCAGGGGCACCTCCTATGAACATGACATGTACACATGCAGTGGCTGCAGCTGGAGCACAGGAAGGAAACCATGACAGCGGAGGCAAATCTAATTTTGAGATGACTCAGAGGGGTTTTTTGATCCTCTAGCACATGTAATATTGGAAAACCTGGGTGAAACCCGAATTGCAGCTCACAAATAGGATGTGTCATCCAGCACACATCCAGTGGGTGTATCACCCTTTGCCAGCAGAACCATTCATCTATAGATAAAAATACATTGCCAGCCACATAAAAATTTCCTATTTCAGCTAACAAGTGACCATTACTCTCTCTCCCAATGACCACCCTGTTTGACATATGATCACTCACTACATGATCAAACCCCAGATTTCCTTTTCCCACCCAGAGGAACATATGACAGAAACGATCACTTGTGGTTTCTGTCATGCTTCTGTCATGTCCTGGGGAAGCACATGGCATTTATCCCTCAAAGTCCTCAGTGAAAAAGTGTGCCCTCTGCCAGGTGAAAGGTTGGCAGCTGCTGGCCTGTGCAGTACTTCTATAAGCAGATACATGCTGCAGACAAGCCAAGACTTGGCATGCATTAAACAAGTTGAACCAGTGTAATTTCCCTGATTTTCCTTGCTGTAGGGGGCCAAGACCTAGAGGTGGTAGTCACATTACTTGGAAGGATTAATTCCAATATTTATCAAGACTTCTAAACCACTGCATTCTCTCATTTCCTTTCCATCTGTACATTTTCTATATATTCCCCACTAGCATTCACGAACTTATCTTTTGCAGTACACGTTTATGAATTAGTAACATCGTGTTGTCCTCAGGGAAAATTAGAGGATGTACCTACCACTGACAGAGCCAGGCCATTCTCTGAAAGCAAGTTCACAGAAGCCGTCAATTCCATTACGTTAGCTACCACTTACGGGCAAAACTAAAATTAATTACCTCTCAAACCTCCTCTACTGTCAACTGTAGTAGTCTTGGATGGCCACCTTGAAGCTAACTGCCTGGTTTTGGAGTAATCTGGTCTCTCACCTTCAGAGCGCACAAGCTGGTGTGTCACAGTAAATCCTTACAGAAAATTTCTTAGATTGTTAATTTATTTTATGCTGTTTCTTTGTTTATCGATACCATTCTGCCTCACAACTATTGCATCAGCAAAAGTCTGTGTGATGGAGATCTGAACTTGCAGCAGCAAGCATTGTGTTCTTCAGTTTTGCAACCTTCTGAACCATAACTGCTATTTTTGTTTTCAAGAAATGAAAAGTCCACCTTTTTACATACTTTCTTTCTGTTTCCCACAACAATACAAGAAATCAGAAGGTTCTTCCAACTGCTGTCACACCCATGGTCTACTTATGATGCAGAGAAAGTCAGTATACAGGCACACAACTTTCAAGTTACACAGACTGCTGCACTGCCTGGCTAAGAACAGGTCTGCAGAAGAGCTGGGAAAGTCAGATGTTATTTTATCATGAGCATCCTGGAGCGAATCCAGGCAGCGAGGCAGGAGGAACACCGGGACACATTCAGGAAATCTACCAAGTAAAAGGCACAGATTGAACCAACGGCAGCACCGGCCTATGTCTGAACTATACAGCTACAGAAGACATCACCAGAGATTATAAATTAAGGTGATTAAGGTCTCCACGGTGTTTACTAGCAGGTAATCATCACAGCTACATAGGCACTGGCATCCAAGCAGGTAGCAGGGCACAGAAAAAGACTAACTTGCAGGGAAAACCCATCTCTAGTTTTGTCTCAAGGGTTACAAATCTCAGCAATGTCTATAGATGGTTTTCATTACTTTGTAAAAGAATGTTAGTAATTTGAAACTAAGTCACTCTGAGCATTAACAACTCATGACAAAGAGCAGACCTGAAACCAAGTGGTGTGCACAAAATGGAATGAAATAGCTTTAAAGTTACTCAGAAAAATTACATAGTCATTCATCATGAACCCATTTTGGTTTATCCATTGCATGGTTTCAGTATTCTTACAGGGCCATTTTGATTTAGGAAAAAAAGACAGTAAACTCCTCACCCTTTTTCTCTGATACCTTTTGTAATGGCAACTGAAATTTCTCATCTGGATAAGCTAAATATGTCATCATTGAATTAATTGAGGATTTTACAGAACTATACCCTGTAACCTAAAGAAACATATTTTTATTATACTTGTTTCACTGAAAGTGCAGAGTTGCAGAGTTTTTTGACAGTGTTTGTCATTGAAGAACATTAAAATCAACAAGCTGCACTGAAACTGCCTAAGTTGGCAGCTAAAACACTGTGACAGAAGCAAGTCCTTCATTTGGTGTGGGGTGGGGAGGTGGGAATTGACATTGAAATCAGGTGCAACCTCCAATCAAGGTCTTGCTTTCATGTCTCTGTAGATATGATGCCTCAAACATCATCCCAGGGACCAAGAGAAGAATTCCCCAAATAAATCCACACTAGTAAAATGTGATCAAGTATAGAGAAAGGAAGAGGTTAAAGGTACTATGATGGAGAAGATTTTTTTCCTTATTCAAGGACCTTACTATTAAATTTCCTTTCCTTCCTGCCCCACCTCCAATCAGGTATGTACCTTATCAACAATTACTAAACAGTAACATGTCGTCCTAATTCCTCACTGGATGTTGACAATTAGAAAAAAAAAAATGAGGGAGGCACAGCATGAGACTCAAGAAGAAGAGGTTCAGCTGCTGATTAGCAAACAGGTGACACAACTCCAACTTCATTTACTACTTTCTTCTAAATTTTGCAAATGTGTTGATGGGGATGGGTGCAGTGAAAATCAACCTTTTCTTTTAAGCCCAATATTTTAAAACACCAAATTTGTGAATGAGATTACTTTTAGATTAAATATTTTGTGTTATCCAAAGCATACATATAATCCATTCTAGCAGAGCAGTTACAGAACAGGCTGTGTCAGCCTTTTAACATTTGGTACATGAGCATGACTTTGTTCTAGTGTTTCTCCTCACTACTTTTTCTTTTCTAATATATAAAAAAGTGAACCTTCATGAAGTGGTCTGGATAAAGAAGTTAGCAGTTTGCGAAGGAAACCCCAAAATATAGCCTACGTTTTGGCGCTTTAACTTTCACATGGCAGTCGGGTTAAATATCTCATCTTTTGTAGTTATTTCTAATTTTGTAAGCCTGTTAAGGTTTCAGAAGTTGTTTTCCTACTTCGTGCAGAAAGAAAAGATTATTCAAGGGCACTCCACAACTTCTAAGCAGAACAATGCAAAGTCTATGCTAGTTCCAAAGCTAGAGTTTTCCAGCAAGAAAAATGTAAGAAGTGATTTAGTGTTGGTTATATGAATGCATTCTTTCTGATATGAATGTGAAGTCTGCTTCGCCACCTAGTCAATCTAATCCAAGCTGTCAGGGCACAGCATAATCTCAGCACTGAAAAATTCTGCAGGTCTGTGGAAACGCCTCATTCATACTGCCGCAGAGCGAACATCCGTCAGTTTGGGATGATTTAACAGCGAAAAAGAACATCTGTTCTAGCTCCTTTAAGTGCTGTTAACACACCTTTTTCTCCATACTAGTTTTTGGAAATAAAACTAACTCTTCAGCAGGGGCTTTGCAAGTCATGCTCTGGTGAGCAGTCCCAGAAAGCTTAAGAAAAGTAACAACAAAGCCACTGAAACAAGATTTTCTTAAGATAGAGTAGACACATGTAACAGCAGTTACTATGCCTGGGCAGGGCTTCAGAAGTAAATTGGAAGCATGGAGAATTCATGAATCAGGGACAACACGCATATGTGAAATGTGAACAGTTTAGAGACACCTACATTTGCTTCCCAGTGCTTCTTAAACCTCTACCTCGATAATGAAATTCTCACCCACTGGGATGCCTTTAAGAGTTTCTCTAGGTATGGAAACAGCCACACCATACTCTGGACCAATCGTGCTTTCTACCTGTATAAATGAACTTCGCCTTTATATTCAAGGTCCCTGTGTCCATTCTGAACAGACAAATTAAAAGCTTGAAAAAGTGTCGAGGCCAAAGATTTTTTAAGACCCTAACAGATTAAGAAACTAAATTTCATTCTGTTTCCTGTGTTATGTGGGTTTTGCACATAAGTTGTGTATTGCTTGAAAGAATTCTGATGTGGGGTGTTAATTGACATTGTTGTAGCGGCTTCAGTTGAGTTAATTTTTAAGGGAATCAGAGGTCAGTGCTGTGTTGAAAACCATATAAATAAGTTCTGTATGTTGCATGTCCTTTAAAAACTGTTAACTGTGCTCTGTATTTTGATGTTTTTCCTATAGTCACTGGAAAATGGCAGGCAAGAAGAAAGAAACCCAGCTCCAGGTATAAATCCTAATTATCTGAACAATGCTAGTGAAGAATAGGGGTTTTTTTCCTGCCTTTTAAAGATGTTAAAAAGCCAATTCATTTTTTTTCAGACAATAATAACCAATCAAAACCAGTGGGATGAAATGTTGCTGACAAAAGGTGTAGTAGGTACTAACTGTTGCTATTTTCTTTTTAATATCTCATGAAGATACTTACAGTTTTTCATACTTATATATCGTATCATTTTTAATAGATACTTGTTATAAATCTAGAAGACTAGTGCTATATTATCTTTGAAAGAAGTGTTATATGAATATAATTATAAATCTATACATTATGTTTGTGAATATATACTGGCTTCTCTGGTAAATAACAACTTGTCACAAATCATATTATCCATTATTTTATGCACTGCTATAGACCTATGTTTAGAAAATACCTTTCCAGTATCACATTCTGTATGGCAGAAGGTAGGAAATTGTGGAAATTTTTCCCTAAAGTCTTGTACAGACTAAATAAATACTGTACACTTGTACCTTAGCAGTTAATCAGTCAGGATTCCTGAGGGTGCATGTTCTATGATGTGTATTACTCCCCGTTTTCAGTTCGCTCAGTCCAACAACATCCAATACACTCATAAATATGTATGTCTCATAAGTTTCACAAGCCAGCTCTTTGTAATTTCAAACTATTACATTCTAGTAATAGATGTGTATCAAGCTTGGTGTGGTCCTTGCAAAGCTGTGGTGAATTTATTCAGAAAACTGAAGAATGAGTTTGGTGAAGAGGATCTGTTGCATTTTGCAGTGGTGAAGATGTAAATTCTGTGTGGAACTTTGTTTATATTTTATTTAAAATATATCTTTTTATCTGTTTACATATGCAGAGCTTTCATTTTATTGTCCTGATACCGAGTGGTCATAATTTTGGCCTAGTTGCCTCTTCTTCTGCATATCTCTTATACTTAATATCTCTTAAACTTAATAGAGTGAATAATCTCTTTTGTCAAGACCTCAGGGGCTACTTCCTCATTTTTATGCAAGGCATTAAAACCTACATGGGAAAACAGTATTAGGATAAAGTATTTTTCCATGATTAGCGGCTGTAATATGAAGGGAGGCTAATCCCGTGTTACCAAACCAGTTCCTTCTTCATCACCAGCAAGTGTCATAAAGACTGTTGGTTGTATTTAAGACTGCAGCTTGAGTGTGTAACACCACAGTATATAATACTACAGTTTTCTTGCAGGCAAATATGATTATGCATATCTATACACACTTGCATGCATACACACACTTAGGTAATTAAATAATCTTTTACATCTGACTTCAGGCAGAGGCTGACAGCATATCAACTCTGCGACCATTTAGGAATAAATGTGAACCTGTGTTTCTCTTCTGTGTTCTAAGTACATCACATCAGTCTATTTTAATGTTCTGCCTACTTATGCATGAATTTTTTGGCAGATAAAGAAGAAATGTGAAGCTGTATAGACCATACATTTACATTTTACAGTATGTAGGATCATATCATCAGATGTTGTTTACTTGAGGGTGTTTCTCATCCCTGAGTCCACGGTTCCTGGGCACATTTTTGTTGTGGCCACTGCACATGCAGCCACAGAAGATTTGTGGTAGCCACAGTTTTGGTAGTTACTTAGTGAGAAATCAGTATAAGTTTTCCGGGGTTACCTGGCATAAAGTGTCTACATGTGGCTACAGTGAAATGATTATTTTATACACACCTTCCCTCAGGGAAACAGAGTTTGCATTTCCTGCCACTTCAAATTTTTTAAGATAAACAACTAAAATTGCATTTTTCACATCTGAGCAGTTTTAACAATGAATCATACTGGTTATCTCTCCTTGACGGATACAGAAAGACTGTTCTCCTAGGACTGGACTGTAGAACTCTGCTCGCTTATGAGGCAGTGGGTTTTTTCAACCTGAGGGTGCTAGGATTTGAATTCCAGCAACTCAGGGCCAAGAACAATGATAATTTCAGGACACCTTCAGGTTTGAATCTGAATGCTGCCAAGTGAGGTTGGCAGTATCTTTGATCACCCTTAGTTAGCTTCACTCTGGTGTTCCTGAGTGTGGTAGAGCACACGCTGAAAGTTAATGCAGATTAAAAGATAGAAAACTCCATGTGACAGAAATTAAGAGCTAGTAAATAGTGACAAAAACTCACTGAGAGTGTTATTTTGTCTTGCACAGAATGGCAAAATTATTGCAATAGTGAGAGGTGTGAATGCTCCTCTTCTAACTAAGAAAATAACAGAGCTAGTGCAAGAAGAAAGAAGTGCAACTGGACAGAAAGAATGCACTGAGGTACTCACAAACCAGATACTTAAACATAAATGAGTATTTCTATTACATTTACATGGTTTCTTTCAATGTCATTGACAGTGTTTTCCTTAATATAATGTTTAATTTTTTGTACTTTTTTTCTTGACAGCATAGTGACATATGTGAGGGGTTAGAAATTTCCATTAAATGGTAATTTATAAAAATTTAATAAATTTATAGATTAGCCAATGAATGCAAGAAATTGAGAAATGGATGAAATGTCACTAGCACATAAAGGTTTTATTTATGTTTATTCTTTCTGGACTAAGTATTTTTCATATAAAATTTAGTTATATTTGTGCATCACATGAAACAAATGAAGACATCAGCAATAGCCATGTCGCTGCTTGTTTTGAGTTGAAATGGAAATCAAAGAACTCTTACAGTAAAGGGAAACTTTTAACAAACTGCAGGTCAGCAAAGGAAAATCAGTCTAGCCCTATGTTTTTCCTACATTTACTCTCTTTCCTTGTTAGAAAATATGTTACTGCATTAAGGTGGAAGTGTTGTAAAGATCTGACAGCTGTGTTTTGTGACCTTAGCTTCACACTGGTGCTGTACTGTATTTATAATTGCCTTAGGCAGATGAACTTGTTTTCCTAGAAGAGAAATCATCAGAAGAGGATGTTGCGGAGAATGCACCCGAGGGTAAATATATTTGATTTAGTTCAGCGATGTTAACCGAAAGAAAAAGAAAAAAAGTCTTTTTAGTGATTTGGTTCGGAATCATGTATGTCCAGCACCAATAGATCTTCCTTTGAGTTAATAACGTGAGAGGTTATGATTGAGGATATCAGGCTGAGGGGAAGCTTTCTTCTTTAAGGAATTAAGTTATTGGACTCTCATCATCAGTGTTTTCATCCCGCTTTGGGAACCTTCAGAATGCAGGTCCCTGGCACATAGCAGCAATGCTATGTGTCGGGAATTTTCCTGTGTAAAACTAGTGTTTGAAAGTCACTTCTACACAGTCCCTGTGTTAGCTCTGTGCTGTTGCTGAGATGGTGCTTGTTAACCCTTGGATGTTCTACAGAAACACCAAGTTGGGGCAGCCTGTGAAGGTTGGAAGAGTTAATCTCTGAAGGAATAACATGCCTTGTATTTCAGATTATTTTTAATTAACTCTTTTACCAGACTAGATTTAAGCACTAAAGGACAGACTTACACAAGAGCATAAATCCACAAGAGTAGGGTAAGGTTCCAAAAAGATTGAAAACTATACACCATCCTGCGATTGAAAACTATACACCATCCTGCTTGTGAGTCTTGTGTCTATGATTTATTTCAGGCTTGTCATGAGCTGGGACAAATATGTTCTCTATTCTTACTGTTATCTGTGGCTATTGAAGCTTCCTGCTGCTTCATATATGCACAGAATGTCATTTGGGAACGTTCAGATGGAAAGAACTCCTCCGTCCTCTCTCTTTCTTTATACTGGTTTGGTTTTTTTTTCCCCTGTGATCAGGCATTCAATCACTGTCACAGATTAAGTTGTGTCCATTCTCCTTCCTCTTCATGTCTTCTTTATTGTATGGTTCAAGTGACATGCTCCTGACCTCAGCTTTAAACCCTCTGAGACCTGGTAATACGGTATTATAGATCCTTTAGCAATTATATAGGGAGTTTGCACTAATCCATGGAACCTAAACATGCAACAAAATCAGGGAATAGAGTTTTAAGCTTGGGCTCAGCTTCATGTCAGAAGCCATAATACACTAACACACTGTGGTAATATTTCCCTTACTGCATGCTGGTGCCCATGTGTGTGTTCTAGTACTGGAAACAAGTAGTATTTGGATGTTTCTGTTAAAACTATCGAGTTCTTCTACAGTGTTTGGGATCTGACTGAATTCCGTGCTAATGCTTAACAGTAAACCTCAGATTTTGCAAAGAAAGATGTAGTTTATATTCTCTTCTGACCACTTTCTTTCATTTTGCAAGGATCTTTATGCTATGGGTGTTGTATGTCTACAACCAGGAACACCTCTTGGATTAAACACTAGACTGTGTTAGCAAGCATGTGTTACTTCAACAGTTATTAATTGCAAATGATTTCAGCATCCACAGTGCTAAGGAAACAAACCTCTACTATGACAAGAAATGTATATTTTATGGAAAATATCCAATATTCATACAGATTTTCACTTAGTGAATTTTCCTTAGTGAAAATTCCTTCATTCCTTTCACATTTCTAGTCTTGTACATAAAGAGCTCCCTAGACAAAGCAACCATCTTAAATAGTATTTTTTTCACCACAACTAGCTGCATGTAAACCATTTCTCCACCATATGACCCAAAACACTAGTGGTTCATCAGGAATGTGGATTCCAGGGATGGCCAAGGACAGTGCCACACTCCAAGATTTGCTTTAAGTGTTGGAGTAATTTATATTTTGGAACAACTGTTTGGCCATCTCCATGTTAAAATGGAGGATTATTTAAAGAATCCCACTTGTAAGTAATGGAAAATTCAGTTGTGTATTTATTCTGATAAATGTATTCATTGACACATGCTTTTTTCCCTTTCCCAGAAGAAGTAGTCAGATATTCCATTGGAATTATAAAACCCAATGATGTTTTAGAGGGACGTGTAGAGGAAATTAAACAAAAGGTAAACAAAACTGGAAGATTCATTTATCCTATTTAGCATAGGCATAGTAGCAAGATGTAAGATTAAGTAGATCCAAGTTTATGCCTAGGCTTTGGAACAAGACCTGTTAATGTTTCTCTGATAAGGATAATAAAAGCAAAATAATTTTGACTTGAAATAATGTGGTATTTAGATTGATACTATTGCTTTAATATTTCATGTCACTAGGGGACGTATGACATGATTCAAACTGTGTTGATCAGTGACACGTGAAATCTACAAACAGGAGAGTCATTTTTTTCCTCAAATTACAATAGAAGTGAGAACTAGGAATGGTGGTGGTGAAGTTATTCACCCAGCATCTTTAAGAACTGTAGACGCAAATAAATCAAAGAGCCAGTTCCTTATGGAAGACAGCGTGTCCGCAGAAACATAGGAAAATATAGGCATGTAGATGGTGATGCTAATTCACGTGCACTACTAATTGTACTCTAATAATTGCCAGTAGCGCAGTATTTGATCCTGCAGCGAAGGATGTTAATCCGGCAAGTATGCAAGGGTGTATCCAAGGATTCTGTATCTGTTTAAGCCATCACACAGTGAAAGAAAAATCCTTTTGCTTTTCAGAAAATGATACCATGGTACTGCTCACTTCAATTACAGGAATTTCTCACTGTTTCTGAAAAATGCCTCATAACACTATGTATCAAGAAAAAACTATGATAGTTTTTAAAACTTTTAGGACAGGGGCCAGTGACCTTTGCAGGAAAGAAAATCAGAGTGTGGATAGGTTGTTTCTACCTTGACCAGAAATGAAGGAAGCTCAGTAATGGAAAAAAAAACCAGCAGGCAGTGCTGGAAAGCAATTTAGAATCATAGAATCACAGAATGGTTTGGGTTGGAAGGGACCTTAAAGATCATCTACTTCCAACCCCCCTGCCATGGGCAGGGACACCTTCCACTAGACCAGGTTGCTCCAAGCCTCATCCAGCCTGGCCTTAAAGACATCCAGGGATGGGGCATCCACAGCTTCTCTGGGCAACCTGTTCCAGTGCCTCACCACCCTCTCTGGGAAGAATTTCTTCCTGATATCCAATCTAAACCTCCCTGATTTCAATTTATACCCATTACCCCTTGTCCTATCACTACAGGCTCTTGTAAAAAGTCCTATTCCAGTACCCTTGTAGGCCCCCTTCAGATACTGGAAAGCTGCAATGAGGTCTCCTCGGAGCCTCCTCTTCTCCAGGCTGAACAAGCCCAATTCTGGCAGCCTTTCGTCATAGGAGAGGTGCTGAGCAGCTGGTAGTTGGCTCTGCCTTTGCACTGCCTTGTGAGGCATGTGCCATGCTGTCTCCACACTCAGACTTGTCAAGGCAGTCTGGAAACCCTTATCAGCATTGCAGGGGCCTTTAAAGAGTAGAGTCCTAGGAAAGAGATTAATATTGGCAAATGATCAGTATTGGGGCTGGGTAGTGTCTTTTTTGTTTAAACATCAGTATATTGTATAAACCTCATGTCAGTGGAATATGAATTTTGATATAGGTCATGTAAGTATTCATCTCTTACACATACTTGAATTTAGTGCAGTAATGTAACTTAAAATAGATAATCATAAAATAGATTTTATTTTAATTTGTTTTCTGTTGCTAAAGCTAAGTAATTTAGCAAGCAAACCCTGCTGACAAGTACATGTTTATATGACTACAATATAGTTAATAAGATCACTTTTAGAAGTGGTTACATGTTAAGCATTCACAATGGTTAAAATGAGTTTATTCAATGTTAAATAAATCAGATTATTAACTACTGAATGAATACATACATTGAACTGCACTATATTTTTCACAAACCTTAACCTAGTGGGCATTGTAATCCTCAATTTAGTCAAGTGTTTAGAAAAGCTGGAACTTTAGTTTAGGTAAACGTCGCAGTTATATTTGAAATATTTCAAAGAATTTTAAACTTGGTACCTTCCAAAATCAATTGATTTTTAGATTTACAATAACATATGATTTTGTACATATCCATTTTCAAATGCCACTGAATAATTGCAGATTAGAGATGCATGATTTGACATTGAAGCAGCAGAAGAGAAAATGCTAACTGAAGAGCAAATCAGAGTATTCTATGCCCAGAATAAAGAACAGGTAAAAACAAAGTGAAAACCTAAACAAAAGGAACAGTTAAAATAGGCCATTATAGCAATATGTGTTTGCAAATCTCTGTCTTGTCAATTTTTAGTGTGTCAAAGAACTGAACTAATGTAGATCTAGTACATAGAATAAAAAAGAGGTATGTTTCTTTTTCGCTTAGCTAGTCATACAAACATGGCTCGGCAGCACTTTAACATTCCAATGAAGTTAAAATGAACTCAAATTGAATACCAAAAGATTCTGTAGTTCTTTCTCCTATGACCCTTAGTCATGGCCCTAAACGTAGGCTGTTAGCTGCCAAAATGTAGCACAAAACCAAAATCCAGTGTCATCCATATGACAGTATCTATTTGACACACACTCTTCCAGACAGAATATAAATTATAGTATATATTATATTTTTTTCTTCTTTACAGCTTTTATCATGGGGCAGTCCTGGGAATAAGCACATGCACAGGCAGAAAGAGAAAGCATCTCCAGTGAAGTTTATTTTTCTGGCCCTATCCTTTGTTAGGGGACAACAAATAGCTAAGGACAGACAAGAAAACATTGTTCAAGAAAACAATGAAATCATTAAATGGCAGTGGTCTAGCAAAGTGGCACCCAGGTATTGTCAAGTGCTTTGACAGTGTGATAGCTAAAGTCAACTCTACAGAAGGATCTAGATCACGAAAATTAAGCTCCTTTGCAAATATTTATACCTTCTCCTATTTAAAATCTGCATAAGATAAACAGAAGATGGAATTATATGCAGACAACTGGTTTGTTTGATATTATCTGAAGGGCCAACTGATGGGATCAATGAAAGGGTTGGCATAATCAAAAGAAGAAGCTGGGAAAGTGTCCCTGTAGCATTCCAAATGAACAAAAGTGAGACAAGGAGCCAGAAGGAAAAAGAAATCTGATAGTAGTCACCAGGTGGCTGCACTATGGTTTAGAAAGGAAGTGACAGAGAGAACATGTAAAGAATCATGAAGAGCTTGGTTTTGGCAAAGCTGGGATTCTAGTTTAGACAAAGAGAGTTTTGAAGTAGAGGCAAAAATAAGTTATCTTCACGGGAACAGCAACCAAATTTGAGATTAGTTAGGTGTAGCGGGAGACATGGGAGGAACAAAGACAGGGGAAAAGCACGCAGTGTTTGACAGAGGGCAGCACTATTACACCGCAGCAGATCCTAGCCAACATTAAGACAGGGAGAATAAGAAAACTACTAAGAAGAAGTTCAGAGGGCCCTATGCATATTCAGAAGCCAATTATTTCCATTCTTTAAGTGTATTTCCGAGCTGAAAAATAATTACGTTAAAGTGACAATATGGAATAGAGATTCCTTTGTGCTCAGTGGGCAAAATTATTCTTAAGTGAAAACTTTGCAAGCTTGCAGAAGGTCCAGCAGCTGCCTGATATAACATAATGGAGACTCAATATAGATATAGATATATAGATATAGATATAGATATATAGATATATAGATTTCCTTCCAGATATAAATGGAAGCAGAAATTATTTATTTTTAATGATGAAGCTGGGTGAGCCAGGAAAGCCAAATCTAACAGCCACATCTATGTCTTTTAATGTGAGCAAGTGTACTTTTGAAGCCACAACAGTATAGTTACTTATCCATTGTACTAAATATTTTTGTATCGCCATTCATTATGCCTCTTTTGAGTTTGTTCATCTTGTGAAATGGGTTAAGTTTAAGCATAGATATGTAGATAATTGAATGAGAAAATCAATTATTTGAAATCACACATGAATATTTCATCCTCATATTATTAAAGAAAAAATTTATCATATATAATTAGATGAGAAAGATACATAATCTTTCTTTTCATAAAGAAAGACTTAGTTAAATATTTAAAAGGAGATAAGATCTTAATGGAAATTCACAATATTGAAGAAAAAGCTGACATACAAGAAAAAAAAGATTAAAAACTCACAACAGCTTCAAAAGTTATTTACTGATGAAAAATCTACATTTACAAGATCAAAAGTTGAAACTGAAGTAGTGAAAAGAACATAGCAAACAGGATGAAGGAAAAGCCTACAGATATCTTGCAAATATCTCAGAGTTCTACATTTGCAGCCAACTACATTATTCTCAGTCTTAAAAATGATTCCTAGAACCGTAGGACAGTTTGTTATGTCACACTACACGTGCTACTGCAAGCAGAGCACCTGATCATATCAAGTTTCTAGATCATTAACTTCACTCTTGTAATTTGCATTTTGATGTGGAAAAACATGTGGCACTTTCTTAATGTAATTTTATGACTTTATTTATCTCAATTAATTGTTTGAGACATTTTCTAGTAGTGTTGTCTCCAATGATTGATCAAAAAACTTCCCAATCAATTTGACAGGTTTTTGAGAAATTTATGTGAATTCCATTTTAGAACAGAAACTTTGTGTTACTTTGGAAAGTATGGTCTTCTCGTTTCTGATGATAAACTCAGAGTTCTTGTAATTCCATGGGGGGAAATTATGGTTTTTTAGCCTGATTTTGATGATTTTGTTCAACTCATGATGACTGGACCATGCCACGTTTTGGTAATCACAAAAAAAGAAGAAACTGATGCTATTCCTCACTGGAAAGAACTACATCAAGCGAGTGAGAGTGTGCCTGAGGAGCCTGAGGCTGGGAAGCGAGGCAGGTAACTTAACAGTGAAAATGTGTGTGTGTGTGTGATTCTGCTACAGTATTCCGAGCACACCATAAAACAAGGAACATTCTTGCTGACGCTCATGTGGCCGTGAGCACAGAGTCCAGGGAACAGGCAGACTTCTTCACCTGGTCTTTCACAAGACCATTATTAGAGATACAATCACAGTTCCTGTGGGAACATAGAAACTCCTTGCTTCCTAGGAAAGGCAACAAGCAAAGGCCACTGATGTCTTGCCCTTGCTGACGTGGCCTTGAAGGGGTCATCAGACTGATGGGAAAAGGGCTATATTTGCAAGCTGAAGGTCCACTTTATAGCAGACACTGCCCACTGAGGGTTGCCCTCTTGTCCGTGGTTATTCCTACGTATCCGGGAAGCTGCAGATGTGGCCCAAGAGAGACTATGGGACACCTGAAGCATGCCACACTCCCTGGGACAGCCATCAAGTGAGAGGATTTTGGGGTTTGTTCCACTACACACACTCCAAGATGCATAAAAATATTGTAAGGATTAGGTGTTCACAACCATGGTATCTTGAAATATCTGGTTTTCTCCTAGGCCAAATATTTGTAGAGAATTTTAAAAGAGGATGATATTTGCACGCACAACATCAGACAATAAAGAGAACGTTCATAAAAATTCAAATATTGGATCAAGTTTTATATTTAGACATGAGATTTACTTAAAGCCACGTGAATTTAGATACTTTGTTCCAAAAAAGAACTTGCCATAACAATTGATATTTTTGTTGATGACTGCTGTATCCCTTTCTGCATTAATTTAGTACAACTGGGGAATACTGCATTTTCTGTAAGTGTCCAAGACTGTATTTACATAGCAAAATAAACCTTAGACATACAGGCAAAGAACAATGAGAAGTGTCTCAGTTAAAGACAATCCTGTAGTGCTATCATTTCTCTGATCATGCCGTACATGGATTAAGCACAATCATTATACTGATCATTATGCATCATACACTGTACACTTGTCAGTGTGAATTCTGTCTAGTCAAACAGAGAGACTATTTTGAATAAGCTGGAATCAGAAAAGCTGCATGGCTCAAATTTCTCTTTCGTAGCACATGACAACAATTTTTGAGATTAAGACTTCTCAGAACCATTACTTTGGATGTTAATCTGAATTTAATAAAAACTGAGTTTGGCATTCTAGTCTTGTGTTTCACTAAATTTTAAGAAAGTACATTTTCAAGAACTCAGCTGTTAACACAATGTATGCAGTGACTTAAATACTGTATTATTTTGTGATTCGTTAGCTTGGAAAGAACTGTGGAAACTGAGAGTATATTAAATATATGTGATGTGCAAGACAGTGTAGAAGATGCCAGCAGGCAGCTCGCCTTCTTCTTCCCAAATTTTGACAGAAAGAAGACAGACCAAAAAGTTGAAAAGACTTTGGCCTTAATTAGACCTTCTCTCTTAAAGGAAAGACGGCGTAAGTGTTAATAACTACATTTTCCATCTAGGGCATATAAAAAGTCTCATATTTTGAACTTGAAAAATTCTAATTCTACTAAAGAAATATTCTTATGTTATATTGTCTCCCCAGCATTAATCTGACATTAATCTGTCAGGAGAAGAGTTACATAGTTAATGTTTTTGATATATTGAGAATGTAAATGTCAATGTTATTTTATTCCTTTGCCTGTTTTTTTTAAGAATGACTTTAGACTGCATATTTGATGAAATGTTTCTAGACACATGGCTACAGGATACTCATGCACCTGAGAGTTCAGTAAAACTCAAAAACAGGACCACACAACTGCAGATAATAAGATAATTACCAAGTTCTGTAGATAAATAAATCAGGTTTTTAAATTACTAGCTACTCCATATCTCTACATATAGGATGTTGAAGTCAGTGGCCAGTTCCATTGATTTGGGTGCAAACAGCTGAGCTCTGCTCCGGAAGGCTGCATTTAGATTGTCTGTAGGAGAGTTCTGAAATCTTCATCCATGCTGCGTGCTGATTTCCTTGGGGAGGAAAAATAAATCATGTTTGGGTATTGCCTTCATAGGAAGTTGAGACATGGCTGGGACAAATACAAGCTGATCAGCATTTTTATGGCTAGTAATAGACCAATAGCTCAGTTCTACAACATTCTTCCTGTTGTGTTAACATACAGTAACTTTGAAATTCGAATTTGCGTTTCAGCACCACAAGGCTTTATCAGACTGCAGATGTTTTAATGGAGATGAGTTTTTAAGTCCTTCAGCATTAGGGCTCATTTTCCTGGCCTGGACTGTATTTCATCAAATTCCTTTTACAGATTACAGTGAGTTTAATATTTGATATTTTTAATGCCAGTTTTCCCATTCTGCAGTGGTCCAACTCTTGTACTTGCTCTAACACGAGAAAATGCTATAGCACACTGGAGAGATTTATTAGGCCCAAAGACTGTTGAAGATGCTAAGAAGGAAAATCCGAACAGGTAATACTTACACTAGTAAACTACCATTCACAGCTTCCAATTTACTTACACATTCCTCATCAAATTGAAAACGGCATTCCAACAAGTGTAACTATAGTGCCATCATCTGGAAACTGATATATTTTTTTCTGGGGTTTGTTAAGCTTTTCTTGGCAGAAGTGTATTAGACATAGTGACTATAACATCTTTTGAGAAATAATGGCTACTGAGCACAATGAAAAGCTGAGTTTAAAAAAGGATATTAAAGCCAAAGAAGATCTTGAGTCAGAGAAAAATCCTTCACTGCTAGAAGCACATTCCACAGGAAGAATCCACCTGTGATAATCTTATAATCCTGCTCTGACAGTTGTATGAACAGGTTACTTGGCTATTCAGTTGAATCTTTGTGACCTTGGATGGCAATTTTTAGGCTTTGAGTTCTACAGAAGTATTGCTACTAATTTTCTACGTGAAAAAAATATTGGCAATATCTCATGTTTAACGATTTATTTTGGTTTTTTGAAATAGTACCATTATTTTTCAGAACAGACACTTATTTTCTTACCTTTATGAAAACTTGCCAGCAGTAGAGTATTTTATTTGTGACTAAGTTTCTTCCACACATTTTATGAATGAGCATGTTAGTTTTACCCATTTATTTTACCTGTTTATTTTATTGTTCTTAGAAACTGCTGTGGTATCATCTAATCTATTGTGTTTCATTAAGCGAGAACAAGATATCATAATGTTGGAAATATAACAAGATGACAATTAGGAGTGAAGATGTTAATATTTCAGGTGGTTAATTAAAAATGTCTTTGTTCTTTCTGTAAACAGTGAAGGCTTCTTAATCCTACAGGGAGTAAACACTTAAGTCACCAGATCAACATTAATTTAAATTTACTGGATTAGTCATAGTTGAAGTTCAAAATGACTATTCCTTTAAGTAACTTACTCTTTTAATGACTCCTAGTTTGCGTGCAAAGTATGCAGTCAACAACATACCTATTGACCAGCTGCATGGTAGTTCTACACCCGCTGACGCTCAGAAGGAATTACAGTTCTTCTTCCCTCAGGAGCACACACTGGCATTAATCAAACCAGCTACTGCTAAGAAACATAAAGGTAAGTGATCTAAAAAGTATGGGCTACATCTACAGATGAAATTTCCACAAAATATTAGCCATGTAAACTGCAGAAAATCATATCAGATGCATTCTTTTTACTTGCAGATGCACAGGTTTTCTGTGCAGAGAAAATGCAGGGCTTGCATAATTCCGGTTGAAGTCTCAAATGTGACATTTCCTCTGCTTAAGTTGCCTATAGCTCTTTCTTCACAAGAATGGTGGTGAATTGAAGTGAGAGAGTTCTTAGCTAAGTTAAACAGTCTAAAAAATTGGCACTTGTGCAAACTAACCATCCAGCATCATTCTAAGTCAAAGCAGAGGAAGGTGTTCAAATGAATGTTACTTATTTCAGACAGGTATCTCTACAGACTCCAAAGGGGTCATTTCTCAATTAGATGCTGTCCCATCCTTGGTTTGACTCACTATTTGGCAATGGGAATACTTGCTCTTTTGCAAAGGAATGAGGAGGAAAGGTGAAAATAAACAGTACACTATGTACAATTTGGAATCTTACCCTAAAGATTTTTTGTACCCCTTTTTTTAGCCTCTTCTTGGCATTCTTCTTTTCTGTCCTAACAAATTTCAGGAGTCTTTCTAATGTTAATTGATCATTGGCTTTTGTGATTCTTTCTTTCCGTTTTGTAACAATCTGGATTGATTTTAGCAGGCCAGCTCGTGTGTCACGTAGCATTACAGCTACAGCCCACGTCCCATCCAGTGCAAGGAACAGCAGTGAATGTTGCCAGTGTAACACTGTGGGTTTGTCACCTGCATAGGGATGGATGAGGGCAGTGACGATAGTTTCTGTGTGTTTTAGAGAACTGTTGAAGTGTTTGTCATACTGTCCATGATGACATGATACTGTAAGTAGAATTTTAGTAGGTATTGGTTATTTTTTTTAAAGCATCTAGTATTTTCTCAACCTTTTAAAGTTTGTGGGCTTTTCTCATCTAAACTATTTCAATCAAGAATTAATGTTCTTCTTGTTCTCCTAGATGACATTATGCAAAAAGTTAAAGATGCTGGATTTACCATCTCAAAGATTAAAGAAGCTTTAACTCGTGAAATGGCTACACAGTTTTATAAGGATCACAAAGGAAAACCCTTTTTTGAACAGTTAGTGACTTGTACGACTGAGTAAGTGTTTCGTTACACAATGCTGAGGTATGTAAGTATACAACAAAGTTTGACTTTACAGTGCCAACAAAACGTGCTACACCTAAGGAAGATGAAGGATTTTCAATCTGTCGCACTTTCTGGAAAGTTTAGTCTGGCTTCTAGCACTTTAGTCTGGCTTCTAGCACTGACTGCTCTTTCCTTAAAAGGAATATTTAAAATTCTTTCCAAACCTATGGATAGAGACTATTATTTTGGATTTTTTCCTCAAAAACAGAACAAATTTCTAATGGAATCCTTGTTCTTCCCACATAGAGCAAACCTCTTCCTCATAATATTGTTAGGATAGCTGTTCATAAAACAGTATGCATTGTCTCGTTTCAGAAATTATTAGGTGAGAATCTTTTTAGGACAAAAGGTCCAAATCCAAATAGCTGATTATCATAATCTTTTTGACTTTTGTCATAGTTTAATCCCAGCCAGCAGCTAAGTACCACGCAGTCACTCGCTCGCCTACTCCTCCTTCCTCCAGTGGGAGAGGACAATTGGAGGAAAAGACAAGAAAACTAGCGGGCTGAGATAAGAACAAATTATTAACTGAAAGTAAATGAAATAAAATAATTATACCAATAATACTAATGATATTAATAATACGTAATGAAAATAATAGAAAACAAATTATACGACCACTCACCACCCACTGATTGACAAAGAGCTAGAACCGTGGAGAGAGAACCCATTCCTAGCCCAAGCCCCAGCTTATATACTGAGCATGACATTTTACGGAATGAAATACCCCCTTGGTCACTCTGGGCCAGCCATCCTGACCGTGTCCCCTCCCAGCTGCTTGTAGCAAAGAAGTTGGGAACACAAGACACAGCAACAGAAACTGAAAAAGTCCTTGACTTGGTACAAACCCTCCTTAGCGACAACTAAAAACATCAGTGTTTTCAATACTTCTCAGCACAAATCCAAAACACAGCCTCACACTAGCCTCTGTGAAGAAAATTAACTCTGTCCCAACTAAACCAAACACATTCAAATACAGGATATTGTCTTAAACAAAATACTCAGAAATAAATTTAAAAATTTAAATAGTTTAACAAAATGCAGATAGCATAAATTTTACCATAACCCTTTATGGTACCTCTGGAGTCCAAGCTAAGTCTGCATCTCAGAGTAGTGTAAGAGCTTCCGTGTATTTATTTTTACAGGGGCCCATCGGTGATAATGATCTTAACAAAGGAAAATGCTGTGGAAGAGTGTAGGCAACTAATGGGTCCAACCAATCCAGAATTGGCAAAAGAGACATCTCCTGAATCAATTCGAGCTCAGTTTGCACAAGACATTTTGTCTAATGCTGTTCATGGATCATCTAATGGAGAACACGCACTGAAAAGCATTGAGTGTGTGTTTGGAGAGAATGATATAGACTGAACAATCAAGATGCAATCTCTGAAATTCAATATTCATGTCATTAGGTGCGTTTGTCTACCCAGCCACCTATATTTAAGCTATGCATACACATATATTTTCCTTCATCCTACATCCGTCTTTTTATCAGCCAGTTTTCTGTTATCAGCTTTGCCATAGTGCAAAACATAATGCAACAAGCAATACCTGCTAGAAGTTTGATGTTAGTAATGGTTTCTCTATGTATGCTTAGTAGACAGTTTTTCTTTCATCACTTTTGACAGATTTATGCCTTTCCAATAGTTCCAGGAGTCTAAGGTGTTTTATATATAACTACTTTAAAAAAAACAGGGTCAAGGAAGGCCATTCAAACACTATTAATGACACATCCACTGGGATGTGGATCAAGTCTTCCAGTTCAGGCAGCCTATGAAGGATAAATGCTGAAAGGTAGTGGATGCACTGCTGCACCAGCGGCAGGGAGCAGCAGCAAGTGTGGGAATGCTCCATGAGGGAGCAGGAGCCAGGAGCCAAGTATGACCACAAGCTCTGCCCTCACTGAGCAGAACTGAGTGGACGTGTCCATTAACAATCCCAGACAAAGCAAGTAATGAACCAAGACCAGGATTCATTCAAGGGTTCAGTCAGGAACAACAGGCGCCAGGGCCAGAGAGGTACTCCTGTAACACAGCTCAGGCAAGGATTTTAAGCCTGAGTGTGAGCTTAAATGGGGCTCCTGGGCCAGTTGACTAATGGTATGGGTGTGCATCCCAGGTGAGACTCCTCAGGGCTTTGTTCCCTAGAGGCCCTGAAAAACATTTGCATTGTTTATTTATCCTTTCCCTAAACATCTTCTAACGATTACTGTCATAGGTAGGATAATAAGACAGAAGGTCCTTTCCAGGCCATGTACTCAATTCAAATATATCAGGTAAAGTAAAATATAAAATCAGCTCTTATATAACAGCTATTCGTGACATATACCTCCTTGCCAAACTAGTGAATTTGTATCCTGTCTCGGTCTAACTTGGCTCACCTTCATGGAGAACACAAATATTCTTCTGTAACTGATATATTCTCACATTTGCTGTCTGAGTCTGTTGAAGGTTGAGATACTAAAGAACGGCATTCAATTAAAGCAATTTACTTGCAGCATTGATTATGTGTGACGCCCAGAAAGAATTAAGTCTTTCTCAAACTTTATTGCTCCTATTGTATTTAACACAACTAGCTGCTTTAAAGAGCTTCCTGACAAATATTTCTGTTGTGATGAGGCATTTGTTATTATAGACATTCCTCCAGCAGAAGTTGGACTGAGTATTCTTGTGGTGGCCCATTTTCACCTACAGCTGCTTTACTGCCATAAACCCAAATTGAGGCTAGCTAGCCTGGAGGAAGCTGTGATTAGCGTAGAATTTATGTCGCCTTGTGAGATGAGTTCTCAGAAACTTATTTCAGAATTGCTGTATGGTTTTTGGCTTGTTTTTTACTTCAAAAGCCTATTAAAACTATTCTTCCTGGCATTATTTCAGCACTCTGTCTTTCGGGTGCTGGCATGTTGTACTTTAAACCAAGAAGCAGAGAATCA